GAGGTTCAGCTCCCTGCTGATGCCAGGGGTGAGGCAAGTGCTTAGTCTCAGTGATGCTGGGAGGGGATGGAAGCTCGGCTCCTCACTGAGCCCTGCTGACACTGGTGAAGTGGAGGGGGCAGGAGGGGAAGCAGAGTGATGAGCTTCCCGTCAAACCCTCTCATTAAGTCTCCTTGTTGCTGCGTTTGAGTGGAGACTCAACTCATCCTGAGACCACACTAACACTACCCCTGCAGGGGAATCAGGGTACAGCGCCTGCTTCTGCCATACTGAGGATGGATGGTCAGCTCCCCTCTTGGCCTCACTGAAACAGTGGGGGTGATGAGCGGTGGGGTGGTTTTTCTGTTAGTGTTTGGCTGGAGTAGAAGGGTTATTGCCAAAGAGGTTTTCTGTTGTTTGGCCTCCCTTATCTAGATCCTTTGCCTAAAAGGGACAGGTTTTTCCTGGGGCTTTTATTTTCTGAGCCCATTGAAGATTCCTGGTTGGAGCTTCTGCAACAACTTGTCTGGAATACATGGGATATGATAAAAAAAAAAAAAAAAAAACTCGGGAAACTCACCATCCTGTCTTTCCTCAAATTCTGAGATCCTTGGTCCTTCTAACTTCTTTCCATCTTTCAGTGACTTCCTATACTTGTTTGTTGTGCTATGCCCAGGGTTTTTTTTTTTTTTTTTTTAGTTCTAAGAGTGAGGGCCTGGAAGGAACAGGGGTGTTCTATCTTTGTCAGAACTGAAAGTCTTCCTTCCTATATCTCCATGATGTTTTGCACAGTTATAATACTCATCCTCCACTACTGCAGACATAAGGGCATTGCATTATGACTTGGGGGTAATATTAAGTGTATAAGGGATTGCCACTTTACTGTCTGTGGTAACATTTCTCCCAGAGCATAAAACCCCTCTCCTTGTTCTTGTGAGGCTAGGGTAATGAGTATTATCTTCACACATGAAACATGGGAGGAAGATATAGCACATGCCTTTGTTTTTCTAAACCAGATTGCATTTGAGTCCAAATTGCACACACGTGGCTGGCAGAAATTCCATTATCAGTAATTTCAGGGGTTCCTTCCCCTTTTAATGAGGATATTAGATTTATTGCTTACTTGGCCCCCTGAAAAAGGAGATGGATGTAGTCCTTAGTTCATGTTTGCTATGGATACCCCTACTGTAAATTCTAAGACAAGATGACAACAGGATGACCTACACTGGTCCTTGCTAATCTGCCTGGTTGTTGTGTCGGAAGAGCTATAGAACATCCCCCTCAGCAAGCCTTGCCACTGATCAGAGGCTGAATCCCAGAATCTTCACAGCTGCTGTTAGCATTTTTACCCATGGTGTCCAACTTCACAGGTGTCCAAAGCCATATCCCATCATTTTTGGTGATACAAAGAAATGAGACCTAAATCTCTATCACTAGCAGAACCTTTCATTCAGTCCCTCATATACCTCCAATCTGAGAAGTGGAAAAGGACATGGAATATGGATTCAGACTACTTGGGTTCAAATCCTGCAACCATCACTTACTACTTCATTGGCGAGACAAAATTATAACTCTCCAAGCCTAATTCTCCCTCATCTACAAAATGGTAGCTACCCTATTATAATCGTGGATTAAACAAGACAATATTTGTAAAGCTGCTGCAACAATGCTTGTTAGTATAGTAATATAGTAAAGGTATAAGCTTATGTAGTAAAATACATTATGTTCTATATACTTAATAGACAAAATTTCTCTGCCTAGGCTTTGGCATCAAGTTGGTCATAGTCTCTAATTGCTAAGGCTTTCTAATATTCACCTGGATAGGGGTCCATTTTCAAGGTAACCTTGAAGTACACAAAAGATGTTTCCTACTTGCAACACACCCTGCCGTGACCTGGGTGAGAAGACTCTAGACCAGCGCTTCTCAAAGAGTTGTCCACACACCATCTGCGTCAAACCTTACGGATAGAATCAAGGTATACACATATTTATTAAGCTGCCCTGTGATTTTAATGCACACTAAAGTTTGTAAGCCATTTCTCTACACTCCCTGTGACATTCACATATGGTTACCTCTTTCTGAAATGTCCACTCCCCCCACCCCGACCAGTGGAAACAAAATGCTACTGTTTCTATAAAGCCATCCCTAAATTCATGCTCACCATCACCAGCCAAGCACGGTTTGTACTTGGAATTTGTGCATTGGACGTGACAATACAGAAAGGGTGAGGGAAGCAGGGAGAAAAATCAGCAAACAGTGCAGAAGGGAGGAGGAAGCAGCAACAAAGTAGCTCCCAAGGGCTCCCCTAATTGGTCAGCAAAGTAAATGCATCGTCCCCCGCATCCACCCACCAAGCGTCATAAATATTTTTGTTAGGAGGAGGAGGGGGTGTGCAGAGTCTGTATCAGCTACCAGCCTCCCAGCGCCACGTTATCGCGCCACGTTATCGCTGTGTAACTGAGAATGCATGGGAATAAGCCGGCTAGTGGACTGGCTACTCTGAAGCACGAGAGCCAAGTATGAAACACCCAACTCCTGAGACTAAGCTCTTGCTTTGAACGCTTATACTCTCTCGTCTTTTGTTCTTGTGTTTGCCTCCTTCTGGAACATTATCTCCATGTCGGCTTGTGAAAATCTTGCCTATCCCTTAGGACTTCGCCTGAAAGCCCCAAGGGACTGTGCCGAAGCACCTGAGCCTCCCAGGCTGAGGACAGAACCCAGGAGCAGGGAGGGAGCTGTCCCTCCCCTTGACTCTTTCTCCCTACCTTCTTCGGGCTCTGAGTTACAACAGAAGCCAACACCGCCAAAGAACACCCCTTCTCCCAGGTCAGCTCAGCCTGCCATGTTCTCAAGGCTGTGCCAGATCAAGGTGTCCTAGACGTCTCCCTGGCCAGAAAGTGGGGCCCTTAGATCTGCATTCAGAGCACACATCCTTCAGGCCGTTCCAGTGCAGGAGCTCAGAAACTTCAATTTGAGAAGAAAAAATGTATCTACTTGATTGAAATTGTTTAAGATACCAGCAGAGAGGCTGGATGGCTGCTGTCCTAAGACTGGCAAAATAGCCCGTGTCACTTAGTGGGGATCCAGGATAGGCACACCTGGCCACCTCGGGGTCCTAGAGTGAGGCCCTCAGCACATCCGAGGCCCCACGGATCCATCTTCCCAGCTGGCTTGGGCTCCCTCCCACCGCGCCCGCCCGCTCCCCGCCGGCTCCTCCCGCCGCCTCCGCCTCCTCCCACTCGGACCCCCCGCGTCGAACGCGTCCCACACCAACTTCGCTCCCTCAGCTCCGCCGGCCGCACTCCAGCCCTTGCCTCGATCGCGTCGCCACCGCCCTCGCCGCCGCCCGCAATCCGCTCCCTCCAGCCGCCCTCGCCTACGTCGCTGCCGCCGCGCCCCGGACTCGGCGACTCTGCGCTCCGTGACCGCCCCGGGCCCCTGGCCGACGCCCTGTCCCCGCCGCCGCCAAGGCCAACACGGGGGGCCACGCTCC